ATGAAATCGAAATCTAAAAAAGTGGCATACAGAACATCAACAATCTCTGTACTAAGGACTTTGTCTATGTAAAAATCTTTTTTTTTAGTGGAAAACGACATGATGCCATTTCTAACCTTAGATCCCTGGGCAGGGCCCGGAAAGACATGAGTACACATCAGAAATAATAACAATAATAATAATAATAATAATAATAATAAAAACCTGATGCGACCGTTTTAACCATTTCTCCCGGGGCAGTAATAATAATAATAATAATAATAATAATAATAATAATACTTTTGTTATCATCACCTTTGCTAATGTAAATACCTTATTCATTAGTGAATATCCCTTAACCTAGCCCTCTACCTTGAGTGTCCCCCAGGCCTTGTCCAGAGGGAATCTTACTGTAAAATACAAATATCACGTTCATCCCTTTCATCTTCGTAGACCAATGAAATGATATTCATCTGCTTAGGAGTTTGTGCTGGTTTTTCACTTGAATTTTCTGTGTGTAAATTTCATTATATACAAACATTTTTTATTGATAACTTGGAACTGATGGCACTATTTGTACTCGTAGCTATTTTATATTTTCATTTCAAATTCCTTGGAGTTTTCGAATCTGAAACTTTGATGACTTTCGTGACCTATACAATATTACTAGTTCTTCCCGAATTGTACCAAATATCAGAGACAGCTGAGTGAACATTACCAATATTTTTTGTGTTGAATTTCTTTCTTGAAAGAGTTTTAAAAATCCTGTCCATTATTTCATCCTATCACAGTTTTCTTAGAGACATATTTTCGGTATTTATGCCACGTAGTCAGTTTAATATGACCTGCCTCGCCATTCTTCGGCTTCCGTCTCGTGAAGAGGACTTAAGTGGTCAAATTACAATCTAGTACTCATACACGTACTTAGAGAGAGGCAATAAAGTCACTCTACGGTTACCTATAACAAAAATTAAGACAACGCAATTAATCAACAGTCCACAGAATTATTATTAAAATAGTTCTGGTTAATTCTGGTTAATAATAATAAAATGCTATGGTAAACGATAATGAATTAAGTACCAATACGATCCGATCTGCAAGCCACCTGGTTCAATGCTTTTTTCTTAATGTATATTGATTTTCTTGCTACCCTATATTTATACTTTAAAAATCAGGAAAATACGTGGCCTTAGTTTAGACTTGGTTCTTCGGGCGATAAGAGACCGTCAGGTCGAAACCAAAGTAGCGTATTTTAATTGAGCTTCTGATTTTTAAAGTTAAAATCTCTACATGTTATTTTTACGTTTATTGATACATTTTTTACACGTGTATTGAGAACTTTTTAATATTACTGTTTCCTGGCCTGATTCAACTCTGACCATTAAAGTTTACACCCCCCCACACACAGACACACACACACACACACATATATATATATATAATATGTATGTATTCCTGTATATATATACCACACACACATATACACACACACACACACACACACACACACACACACACACACACACACATGTCAAGTTGGTAGTCCAGCTACTGCCAAACACGCTGTAGCATGCCTTACGTAACATTCTCCAGAGCCTCATTGATTCCCTGCAAAAGTTCCTCTAGGCTAGTGCGGGGATATAGACTTGTCCTTTCACATATCATAGGCTAAATAACTGACGTATCCATACAACGTATTATATATATAAATATATATATATATATATATATATATATATATATATATATATATATATATATATATATATATATATATATATATATATATTCGTAAGGTTGCTGAGAAAGTTAGCGAGAAGAACCATGAGTTCTATACCGTCTTTATCGATCTGAACAAAGCGTTTGAGACTGTAAGCAGGGGTGCCCTCTGGAAAGTACTCAAAAAGCTTGGCATACCTGAATGTATGTCTTCGTCTCGTTTCACGAAGGAATGAAAGCATATGTTGTATCCAATGGGCAGTTTTCAGAAACATTTGATTTAACAAATGGCACAAATCAAGGTTGTGTCATGGCTCCTGTACTTTTCGCTCCCTTCTTGTCGGCCATGCTATAATATGCTTTTAGTGATCTTAACATGGGTGTGAAATTTGAATTCTTCACATGTGGAGGCCTCTTTATCCATCAACGTTTTAAATCAAAATCGTTGATTCTGGCAAGTATTATTTGTGATCTTTTATTTGCTGATGACCCTGTGACCACCTCAGTCGAAGAAGCTCAAACATTCGTCAAACTTTTTCCCACCACTTGCCACGCATTAGGATTAACTACAAGCATAAAGGAAACTGAAGTTGTCCAGCAACCGAGGCTTACACCTAAGCAGGTCAAGGGTGTAAAACAAAATCCACCTGACCATATCTTTCCAATTATTCCCATTACTCTTGGCAGCAACAACCTGAAGTCTATGAAATCATTCTCGGACTTAGGAAGCAAAGTCAATTCAAGTGCCTCTTTGACGAAATAGTTAACCGAATATCAAAGGCAATCAATGCCTTTGGGAAGCTTAAGCATCGCCTATGGGATGTTCATGGGATTTCACAGAAAACGAAAATCGTTGTCTATTGAGCAGTCATTCTTATCCCACTTCTTTGGGGGTCAGAACCATGGACGCCATACTGGACACACATCAATCAACTTGATGCTTTTCATAGAAGCTGCCTTCCTTCAATATGCGGCTATACACGGCAAAACAAAGATTCTAATCATAATCCTTACATCAAATATGGCGTCGGTGGTATTGAATCCTTTCTGAGGCAATTACAGTTCAGATGGGCAGGTCATGTCATCAGAATGGGTGATGATCGGATGCCGAAAATCCTCATGTATAGCCGACTTTTTCATGGTGAGCGTAACGTAGGCCGTCCTTGTTTACGCTTCAAGGATAAACTTAAATAAAGTTTAATTGCTGCAAACACCCCTAGAGAGGTGTTCGAACTTGCGGTTCAAAATCGATCAAACTGGACAAACATCTTCTACCGAGGTAAACTAACTTTGAAAAGAATTGTCTCAACCAATCTGAGAGAATTAAGAATCAACATTAAATCTCGGGCTAATACATCAGCCCATATGACAGTCAACCGTTCAGAATGCCATTCGTGAGGGCTTGCTTGCAAAACCCGTGCAGGATTTTTGTCTTATACGAAATATAAATATAAAAACTGAACTGAAAGACACTCACGTCGAAAACACGGGTGAGTCCATCAATCATCATCATAATAATAATAATCAGCATATATATATATATATATATATATATATATATAGTTTATGCAAATTTAGGTAATCCGTATAGGTAGACCTGAGGAGGATGATATCCAGAGAGCTCAATGTAAAATTCAGAGCAGATATGTTTGAATAAAAGACAGACCACGTTAAGATTCCATGTAATAAGCTATTTCACCATAACCCTTTAACAGGGTTCAGGATCATCAGACTTTACTTCCAAAAGCTGAAATGAAAAATGAAAAGAAATTCACACGTTTTTGACGGACCTCATCAAGTATACGCAAGTGAGGTGGGAGAGAGGATATGAGTGTGTCATATGTATCATTTTAGTTTCCTATTTTTAACCCCAGTGTGTCGGCTGGATGTTGCTCAAATTTAACGCGTTTCGTCTCTAGATATAAGACCGACATTAAAGGAAGAAGCTACAACAACCCCAATCAATTACACGGCAGATGTATAAACAGAAAAATGTGTTAAAATAATTGTCGGTCTTTGTCCATTTCATAATGTATGACGTCATTTGTTTAAATTTGATACTCTAACAGCAGATATGAATGTACGTGAGAGATTCATGGAAGATTGAAGTTCAAATACTTAAATTCGAGGTAGCCAAATGAATGATCCTCTGTGGCCAAATCGGTAAAAAGGCACGTCAAGTTAAATGACGGTTCCGTATAGGATACAGGTTCGAATCCTCTCAGAAGACGAATATTTACTGTGAAAATTTCTCGGACATTCAGGTCTGTAAATGTTGTTTAATACTGCTTCTTATAAAATAATTGTATTTATTAAAAGTATGTATACACATAAAAATGTCTTAAAATAATTGTCGGACTTTGTCCACTTAATATTATATATATATATATATATATAAGAAGAAATATAGTTTCAACGTATGCTATATTTATGGGATAAAGTTCTCAATATCAGAGATAGAGCGTATGTAAATATAAAAGTGAACATTGAAGTCAACACTCAAAGCAACAAGCTGTTTAATGCTAGACACAGTCGTCAGACCAACTGATTTCAATATTTAATGTTAACTTATATATATATATAGTTCACTCAAATACGCCCATATAAACAATTTCGAGATTAGACGCACATCCATGAGTTTGAGCATACATACATACGCAATTGTAATTTTATTTCGTTTGATCAATATCTGTGATAGAGCTACTTTATAAACACACACCGACACACACATGCATATATATATATATATATATATATATATGCAAGTTCAAGATGTCCTTGATGTGTGCATATTATACCCACACCAAACCAAACTTCCCGAGTCGGGAGATGCCATCCGGCCAAGATGAAAATGCTGAAAAATCAACATTATCTCAGATAAGAAAAAGAAACTAAAACTCATTCAGAAACGTGCCAAGAATTTGTTCGATATTACGATTCTAGCATTTAAAAATGGCACTGAGCCCACTTTCTTACGGTGTGACTATGTAACATATTCCCTTAAGATTTGCTTGCTTTATATTCTATTCAATACAGTAGAACCCCTCATATCAGGAATCACTCATATCCGGAATCCATAATATCCGGAGTGCCTCATATCCGGAATCCCTAATATTCGGAGTGCCTCATATCCTGCGTCCCGCATATCCAAACATGATTTTGATGTGTATATTTGAACTATTTGGATGATATGTAATTGATTTGAAATTTCTGTTTTTCAGGAAATTTACTTTCAATAATTGCTTATGCTTATTTCACCCTAATGGCTTGTATTGGTGCAAAAGATGATGGGAATAAAAGGAAAAAGACAGTTTTGGAGTTATTGCAAAAAGTTGAAATTTTAAACAGACTAGACGCTGGTGAATGTCATTGTAACTAATGGCTGAGATCAACATAGTAAAGTCAACATTGTATGATATAAAATCTTCCAAAGAAACTATTCTCCAGCGTTCACACTGTCACAATGAACAAGGAAATAAAAAAACACAAATGTGATGAAACCTGGGCTGAAACTGAAAAAGCTATTGAAAAGGGTTGTCAGTTTTATGGAAAGAAAGCCAGCATTCAACTATGACGATTGAAATAAAAACTGACTTACGTTTAGAAAATTTCAAGAACAAAATTGTTGTAGAGTGAACGCACAGTTTTTTTTCCGTTTGAATCCAAAATAAGTTCGTCGCCAAGTGTTGTATATGGCGAAACGAACATTTTTTTCTCTCTTTAAAAAATTTTATTTTTTCGTATGAATTTCGAATTATGTCGCCAAAGTTGTTATAGTGTGAACGAAAAAATTTGTCTTTTTCCGTATGAATTACGAATTCCTTGTAGCCAATGTGTTGTATAGTAGTTTTCACAGTGGAGGCTTGTATTTCACTAAGTCTGTCCTAAAAAAGTACGACGTACAAAACGTTAGGAACTTGCGATAAGAGATAATGACGCAGCAATCTAGTTGCGATGGTTGATACTTCAATGTCCGACATCGACTGACTCACTCAACACAACTCAGCCCAACTGGTGACCGCTACTACTACTACTTATTATGTGTGGGACAGTATTAATAATAGAATAGGTACTATAACAAAAAGAAAAATTAAATGCGGAAAAAGTTTAGAATGACATTAGAAGAGAAAGAGCCATCATGCAACAGTGGGTGTCTGTGTGCTTCAGGTGGCGGATGTGTCTAGGAGGCATATTTCTATTCGTGTTTTTTGGTTGTCCGCATGTTGATTTACGGGCGTTTTGCGTGGGGGTGGAAGAATTTAAGTTACACCGGTTGTGGTATTAAGAGATATATCTTAGACTCTTTAAATATGGATTTTTTAAAAATTGGTGATATAATACAGTGTGGTTCATGTGTGGTTATACATAGTAATAGAGTTATCAGAATTCCCTCGAACTATTTTCCACGAAAGGAATCATGTACTTTCTAATTAAAGTGGTATTTATAAAATCGGCGTTATAGTCTGTTTTCTTTCCTTGTATTACGAGCAAGTTTAAAGGGTTGTCCCAGAGTAGGTCGCTGTAGTTCGTCGATGCGGACCTTCAGATTCATAGATGTTCCGCCAATCCATATTTACTTACATTGTAGGATTTTTGTCATAAATCACGTCGTGTGATATAGTGTTAGAGCTACATTATTAACATTATTCGGACTTTGTCAAATTTGTCGCCATATTTATTACAACGTTTCGGCCGCTGTATGCTCCGGCATTCTTCAGGTGGTTGGAATGTCGAACTGAACCCTTTATTTCGCTCACTAGGGTAAACTGTTCTAGTTCCACGTGCCATGTTTAATGGATGTCAGTTATCTCCTGTTAATTCCCCTCTCCAAGTTCTCCACTGTCTTAACCGGGTATTGAACTTACACTCTTTGGGTCCTTTCAGTGGATCTAACCAACGACTTCATAAACTGTGCCTTCACAATACCCGGGTAATGCCTTCAGAGAATAACCTCGTGAATATAAAGTAATAAAGACGAGGACAACAGTCCGAATAATATAAATAGTGAAATAACTTTCTGAGAAAGGATGTTGAAGGTAATATGGCGTGAATATACAACAGTCCGAATAATATAAATAGTGTAAATAGTTACAATACCTCATCTGAGAAATAGAGTCAGATTTGAAGGTGATGTAAATAAATGTGAACAGTCCAAACAATGTAAATAGTCATCTGAGAAATCTGAGAAATAGAGAAATGTTGAAGGTGATATGGTAATAAAGATGAGGACAACAGTCCGAACAAATGTAAATAGTGTAAATAGTTACAATACCTCATCTGAGAAACAGAGACAGATGTTGAAGGTGAATATGGCAATAAAGATGAGGACAACAGTCCAAACAATGTAAATAGTGTAAATAATTACAATACCTCATCATTCTGAGAAATAGAGATAGATGTTGAAAGTGAATATGGTAATAAAGATGAGGACAACAGTCCAAACAATGTAAATAGTGTAAATAGTTACAATACCTCATCTGAGAAATAGAGACAGATGTTGAAGGTGAATATGGTAATAAAGATGAGGACAACAGTCCAAACAATGTAAATAGTGTAAATAGTTACAATACCTCATCTGAGAAATAGAGACAGATGTTGAAGGTGATTATGGCAATAAATATGAGGACAACAGTCCAAACAATGTAAATAGTGTAAATAGTTACAATACCTCATCTGAGAAATAGAGACAGATGTTGAAGGTGAATATGGCAATAAAGATGAGGACAACAGTCCAAACAATGTAAATAGTGTAAATAGTTACAATACCTCATCTGAGAAATAGAGACAGATGTTGAAGGTGAATATGGTAATAAAGATGAGGACAACAGTCCGAACAATGTAAATAGTGTAAATAGTTACAATACCTCATCTGAGAAATAGAGACAGATGTTGAAGGTGAATATGGTAATAAAGATGAGGACAACAGTCCAAACAATGTAAATAGTTAATTTATATCTCATCTGAGAAATAGAGACAGATGTTGAAGGTGAATATGGTAATAAAGATGAGGACAACAGTCCAAATAATGTAAATAGTGTAAATAGTTACAATACCTCATCTGAGAAATAGAGACAAATGTTGAAGGTGAATATGGCAATAAAGATGAGGACAACAGTCCAAAACAATGTAAAATAGAGACAGATGTTGAAGGTTAGTTACAATAGGACAAATAGTCAAACAATGTAAATAGAGAAATAGAGACAGATGTTGAAGGTGAATATATAATAAAGATGAGGACAACAGTCCAAACAATGTAAATAGGAAATAGTTACAATAGTCATCTGAGAAATAGAGACAGATGTTGTGGCAATAAATAGGACAACAGTCCAAACAATGTAAATAGTAAATAGTTACAATACCTCATCTGAGAAATAGAGACAGATTTTAAGGTGAATATGGCAAATAAAGATGAGGACAACAGTCCAAACAATGTTTGGCTGAGAAATAGAGACAGATGTTGAATAATATGGCAATAAAGATGAGGACAAAAGTCCAAACAATGTAAATAGTGTTAACAAATATTCTGTTGAAGGTGAATATGGTAATAAAGATGGAGGACAACAGTCAAACAATGTAAATAGTTAAATCGCATCTGAGAAATAGAGACAAATGTTGAAGGTGAATATGGCCCTAAAGATGGCAACAGTCCAAACAATGTAAATAGTGTAAATATTTCCAATAGCTCATTGTAAATAGAGACAGATGTTGAAGGTGAATATGGCAATAAAGATGAGGACAACAGTCCAAACAATGTAAATGGTGTAAATAGTTACAATACCTCACCTGAGAAATAGAGACAGATGTTGAAAGTGAATATGGCAATAAAGATGAGGGACAAATAGTCCAAACAATGAATAGTTAAATAGTTAAAAAAATAGAGACAAATGTTGACGAGGACAACAGTCCGAACAATGTAAATAAAATATTTACAATTCACCTGAGAAATAGAGATAGATGTTGAAAGTGAATATGGTAATAAAGATGAGGACAACAGTCCAAATAATGTAAATAGTGTAAATAGTTACAATACCTCATCTGAGAAATAGAGACAAATGTTGAAGGTGAATATGGCAATAAAGATTAGGACAACAGTCCGAACAATGTAAATAGTGTAAATAGTTACAATACCTCATCTGAGAAATAGAGACAGATGTTGAATGTGAATATGGCAATAAAGATGAGGACAACAGTCCAAATGGTAAATAGTGTAAATAGTTACAATAATTTCATCTGAGAAATAGAGACAGATGTTGAAGGTGAATATGGCAATAAAGATGAGGACAACAGTCCAAACAATGTAAATAGTTACGATATCGCATCTGAGAAATAGAGACAAATGTTGAAGGTGAATATGGCAATAAATATGAGGACAACAGTCCAAACAATGTAAATAGTGTAAATAGTTACGATATCGCATCTGAGAAATAGAGACAAATGTTGAAGGTGAATATGGCAATAAAGATGAGGACAACAGTCCGAACAATGTAAATAGTGTAATTAGTTACAATAGCTCATGTGAGAAATAGAGACAGATGCTGAAGGTGAATATGGCAATAAAGATGAGGACAACAGTCCAAACAATGTAAATAGTGTAAATAGTTACAATACCTCATCTGAGAAATATAGACGTTTTAAGACGAGTATTGTTAAATACATTAAAGTTTGGCGCGACACACTCTTTCTACCCTAGGTGAGTTAGCCTGCTGTTAACATCTATTCTTTGATGAAACAACTTTCTTAAACAGTCAACAACGGTTCCAACAGCTTACAGTCCCTTCCCTAACTAGCTTCATTTTCAGACTGTAAAACACTTCCACAGCTAAAATTGTATTCTTTCAATATTTTTTTTCTCCCAGTAAATCATTCGTCTTTTAACTCTTTGACCCAATCAAATACGTCTCAAGCACGAAAGTCTTGTTAGAACTTATTGTGTTTTATTTTTAAAAAATGTGCCATCGGTATTTTGTGAATGTTGTTTGTGGGCCATGGGCCATTTTGTCTTGCAGGCATGTTTCTGCGATTTACTTAAGAGTCAACTACAATTGGTATCGCTCGAAGGAAATGTTTGTTCGCGAAGTTGGTTCCAGGTCCGCGAAACATTGAATAATAGAATTCTTCTGACGCCATTCAGGCTGATTCTCTTGGACGAATCGACCGAGAGGATTACATTGTGAAATGAAGAACAATCTGTTGATAAGAGGGCAAAAGTAACTTTCGACAAATTCTGATTCTCTAAATCTATATAGCTATATCCCTATCGATCTATATCCATCTTAACAATCTCTCTCTCTCTCTCTCTCTCTCTCTCTCTCTCTCTATCTATCTATCTATCTATCAGTCCTTTTGCATCTGTCTATCAATCTATCTGTTAGTACGTTCACATCTATCTATCTATCTATCTATCTATCTATCTATCTATCTATCTATCAGTACGTTCAAATCTATCTATCTATCTATCTATCTATCTGTTAGTACGATCACATTATCTATCTATCTATCTATCTATCTCTCAGTACGTTCAAATCTATCTATCTATCTATCTATTTATTTATCTATCTATCTATCTCTCAGTCCTTTTGCATCTGTCTGTCAATCTATCTGTTAGTACGTTCACATCTATCTATCTATCTATCTATCTATCTATCTATCTATGTCTGTTCAGATCTATCTATCTATCTATCATGTTGTTTATGCCTTTCTATCTTTATCTAATTTTACTCAAAATAAATTTTCTTTTAATGTTCTTCCTCACTCTTTTTCTGTCTCCTTAAAATCCACTGCAAATTAATTACTTGAGAAACCTTACGTCAGTAAAACAGAAAACTATTTAACAATCGCTAGACATTCCACAGTTTTCCTCTCTTTATTATTCCCGAAAAGAATTGCTCTCCCATCGCCAAACACTCAAGCATATGTTCCAGACAATGGCCGACCATATCATGTGTCTGATATTATGAGTTTAATCTTAACCTTGAGAAAGTTAACATTGTAAAATATTTTCCACAAAATATAAAAGAAATTGCTTCTTGCCGTCTTTTTCTCGGTCCTTAAATTTCATCGGTATCCTGTACACACACACACACACACACACACACACACACACACACACACACACACACACACACACACACACACACAGACAGAGGAACGGTGGAGTAATAGCGGCTTGGATTGAGGAATCGGAGAGCCGAGTTCGAATTCCAGTCGAATCCATTACTTACGTGCTAACACTCTTGGGAAAGTGTGAATTCTCTTTCTTCTCCTTCCAGCTATGGGTAAATAGCAGGACAGACTGGGTTCTATAGCCTTGGATGGCAACTGGTCTAGGAGAAGGAAAACTCTGAATTCAAACCTGCTCTTAGAGGAGGGTGAATGGAGTCTCTCTGAGCCTTGGTTGGTAATCTATTTAGTGATGGTGTCACGATAAAAAACACCCTTGATAGCCTTAGCGAAGCATCAAGAATTCAGCTATTTGACAAGATTATGAACTACACCAATCAAAGTATTGGTGAGTTAAATCTCGACTGAGGCCGCAAGAAGAAGAAGATATATATATATATATATATATATATATATATATATATATATATATATATATATCGTTCCCATTTTTCATCTATATATCTATGTATATCTGTCTATATTTCTGATATTAGGTATTATGTATCCTATTTAATTTATTCAGACTAATATCCTCATCTTTGTTGACATTTCAACCACCTGACTATGATAGAAATACTAATTGCCATTGAACTTGAAAATTAATAATTATTGTGAAACATGACCATTTAGGGATGAGCAACTTATGCAGACAGCTCAATGATTCTTTCATGCTTATTCTTCTGATTTTCGCATTAAACCAATATTAAACTAACTGCTAATTACAGATTTTCTTCCCCGATTCAAGCAGTCATTTTTAACCTTTTAAGGTTGTTTAAAAATTTCACGGAAGACGTGTATTTGTGGATAACCTCTTTGTGTAGTGGTTTTGGGCGACGGTCTCAATTCGATCATAAAGTTGCATTCTTTTCAGGCTGCCAGTGATCACTAGTTGTTTTAGTTCATGATGTCAAGAACTTTAACACAGAGAATTTTAACTATTTTATTAACGTTTGCGTCGACATGTTCTATATAACGAGTTGGGGTCGTTCCTTCTCTTGGCAGCCGTTTCAGGCATTGACAGTTCAGAAACAACTCATCGAAAATCCTTTCACTGTATCTGTCATTCTCACGCTTGTTCAGGCAATCAAAATCGACTTCCTTGTTTTGTCTTCCATCTGACCGCAAAGGTTAACCCCAGGAAGTCACAACAGAATAATAGTCTGCTAAAGAATTATTTAACATATTAACAGGTTTGAAAATTGCTTTATTCATTGAGTTCTTCCTTATGTGGCGACTACGTCCCCTTACGACGTAATTGATCATCACCCTCCACATCTTCCTGTCCCTAGTAGCACTTATTAAATTTTGTCTTTCTGTTATTTCTCCTAAATCCTCTTCTACAGCCCATTAACTCAAGCTCAGTAAATATTTCATGAGCTGTTTTCTTATTGCCTTCAATCTATCCTATGAGTATCAGATTTTCCAAGCCCTCCTTCCACATTATCTGCACTAGATAGCTCAACTGTCTCTTTCTAATGAGTATATGTTTCCTTTTTTTCATTTCCTCTAAGACTTCGTCGTTGCTCACATGTTCAGTCCATGGAATCCTCAGCATCCTTCCGTAAAACCTCATTTCTCTTGTTTCAAGCCACTTCTTTGTCCTTGAAGAAATTGTCCAGCATTCTCTGCCATACAGGAGGAAAGGTATCCCGTCGCAGCTGAGTAGTCTTTTCCTTGGTTATAACGAAGTTTTTCCGGTTTCTTAATACTCTGCTTATCTTTTGAAATGCATCTTTGGCTATTCCAATATACCTTCGAATTTCATTGCCACACTTTCTGTCCTCTGTTAAAACGCAGGTATTTAAATTTTCTCAGTTGTTTGATTCTGGCATCCCCGATTTTTTTCTTTCTGTGTCTGCTATCAACACTGTGTCATCAGCATAACTTATGTCGTTAAGATTCCTGGTAGTACTTCTAGTTTTTTTTGTGACGTAAGGTGGGCGTTAATAATTAAGTTTAACTCAAGATTTCAATGTTAAGATAAAACAGTACATAATTACAACCGCAGATAAATACTTAATCCGAATCATGTAAATAGTATATGTATGGCGACAAAGATGAGGACAATAGTCCGAATAATGTAAATAGTGTACATAATACCTCATCTCAGAAATATAGACAGATACTGAAGAAGGCCGTTACGTAAACGGCTGAAACATTGTAATAAATATAGCGACAGAGAAGAGGACAATAGTCCGAATAATGTAAATAGTGTACATATTACCTCATATCAGAAATATAAACAGATACAGAAAGGCCGAAACGTTGTGATAAATATGGCAAGAAATATGTGGGCAATAGTCCGAATAATGTAAATAGTGTACATAATACCTCATCTCAGAAATATAGACAGATACTGAAGAAGGCCGTTACGTAAACGGCCGAAACATTGTAATAAATATAGCGACAAAGATGAGGACAAGAGTCCGAATAATGTAAATAGTGTACATACTACGTCATCTCGGGAATATAGACAGATACTGAAAGGCCGAAACGTTGTAATAAATATGGCAACAAAGATAAGGACAATAGTCTGAATAAAGTAAATAGTGTACCTAATACATCATCTCATAATTATAGACAGATACTGAAAGGCCGAAACGTTGTAATAAATATGGCAACAAAGATGAGAAGAATAGTCCGAATAATATAAATAGTGTACATAATCCCTCATCTCAGAAATATGGACAGATGTTGTGGAGTAGTTTTGTAACAAAGACTAGCCACTGTTGATTGTAATGTTAATTTTTTATGATGCACACGTTTAGGGCAAAACTGGGGAGCGGAAGTAATTATTGAATCGATTATTAAATCAACGGAGGGGATGTAGTGAAGAGTCATGATCGCAGAATGTATAAAAGAGGAAAATAGCTTAAAAATGTTTCAACTCTTGCTTTTCAAAAGTTCTTGTGTATAAACATCAGAACACATTTCCGAAGTAAATATTTTCCTAAACTTTTTGAAAGCAAATAGTTTGCAAATTAATTCTACAACAAAAGAAATTTAATCACATCAAATTCATAAAAATAAAATTCTATTCATTCTTGAAGGTAATTTTGTTCAAACATTTCCGTTGTAAATAACGATGTACAATTTACTTTCCTTGGAGCAAATAATTTTTACTTATGTATATTAAAAAAATATGGTTTTTTTTTAATAGTATGTACATTTTCCCACTAAGAAAGATAGTTCTTGTCGACACATGAAAAATAAAAAAAATAAAAAGTTTTATTTAATTATCTTTTCACAGGACTTTTTCGATTATTTTCTTTTTCATTTTAAATTACTAATCAATCTGTTTCGTACTCCAGAAATCTATTTCGGTAAGCACGTTCCAAAAAAAAAAAAAAAAAAAAAAAGAGAGGGGGGTGGACTGAATAAATGTCTCACGCCTAACCCATAACCTTAACACCTCGCACCACGGGAAGGTCACAGCGAGTTCCCTTTTAGCAAAACAAACAACACATTCACATTAGATTGAATCTTTTTTTTTCTTCTGAAAAATGTTTTTATTTCTCCATTTTTTGTACATTCTCTAATTGATTTCAAATAATACGAAGATAACATGGCGAAGGACGGGTTAGACAAAATTCATACCCCTCTCCATCAGCCATTTTGGCTAATTCGATTTTGTTTATTTCAAAACTAAACTTCCTATAAAAAAACAAAAAACAAAAAGACATCGCAGACAGATTATAGGATATAAAATCTCTTCATAAAAATGACATAACGTGAAAGAAATAATCTATTACTTTATAATAATTTTCTAAGCGTAACTTAGATGGCGGAATAATGGATTGAGGAATCGGAGAGCCGAGTTCGAATTCCAGTCGAATCCATTACATTCACTTTGCTAATACCCTTCGGAAAGATATGGATCCTCTCCCCAGCTATGACTAAATAGCAGGACAGGTTGTATAGCTTGGATGGCAACTGGTATACCGTAGGAATAAATGGCAAACTACCGCAGGGAAAAATAGCTTGTCAGTAATGTATCGAAAGATACATGATTGTCTAAACGTGTATCACGCATGGCACGTAACTGACTTAACTTAGATGTGGCACAATGCCGAAAGCATAGAGCACCCAGTGAGGATCGAACTCCCTACTGAGTTTAATTAGACTAGCTGGCTAAGCATTACATCACGTCGAAGTGCACAATTATCACTTTCTAAGCGTTGCTTAAATGTGGCACATAGCCCGAAGTGGGGAGCACTCAGATGATCGAAATCGCTATTCAGTTGTTATTGATCTAGCAAGACAAGCTTGTTAACCATTACTCCACGTGTCCAACTCAAGAGTATATGTTGTAATTAACATTCATTTTATGTTAGTAATCCAAAAAAGGCGGGTTGAATGAACAAAAGATCCTGCCCCAAATATCTATATATGGTCGTGGATTCTGGACCGTTTTCTTACAGATGAAGAAGGGACTTGAGGTGTGGTAGATTATAGTGCTTCCCCGGAAGTTCTAAAGAAAACAAGGGAGAAAATTTACACTCATATTTAGAAACAGAAAGAAAA